GTAGATGTTAGCCCTCAGGCGAGGGGAACGTGGGAGCTCCGAAGTGAGAGCCGGTACCCTCCCAGCCTAGACACATATTCAGTAAATAAGCGTAGGATTAGTCAATGTTCTTCATGCATTGACCAAAAGGTAAAGAATAAGATTTGTCCTATTTGACACAAAACAATGTTTTCTTGTATATTGAATATCACATTAAAAACTTCATTAGTATATTTAGTTATTTAATAGTTATTAAATTACATATTTATTTCAATTGCCTATTAATGACAGATAAGCAAATTGAATTCCATTGTTGTGATTAAAGTATTGCTTTTCTAAAGTCTTAATTTGTAGTTCTAATATTACTCCCTGTGGGATCGATATCTAGGACTCCATTAGGCCCTATATTACTTGAGCGATACGTATACTTGCGTTGATAAGTGTGACTTTACAATTATTGAATATTTTATACATACATCTTTATCAAATCTATAACTGTTATTAAGTTTTGGTACAGTTGCTGAGGAATTAAATATTTTAGTAGCAATATTAATTACTTATATTTTTAAGCATATATAAAGTCGCGGTCAGAATCACACTACATTGTCGGCACATTCGTCATTAGTATTTTCCTCCATATACTAGTGGCAAATGTTTGTCATCTTTCGATCATTCCTACTCTATTAGGAAGATTACATCGCACTAGATCACTTCTCATTTGCATATGCCTTTTTGGTTGTCTCGATAATGAATTTGGCCAGTTAGTTGAGTGACCTGTTGTTGATCATGATGGGGTAGCGAGTATTGCCTACGAAGATGCCTCGAAGGGCAATACTAGCTACCACACCGTGATTTGCACGCATATGTTGTGTGAAGGTCGCAAGGGGTCTAATAGTGCTACTTAGACTTTTCCTTTCTTAGGCCTTATTTTCAAAAGTGTAAAAATCTATATTTTTACTACTTTTATACATCATATTTTCAAAACTTACATTGAAATTACTTGCATATTTAGCTTAGATCGTACATGAGGTCTATTTTTGTAAAAGTTTTTTTACAAAACCTGCATCTAGTTAAACCTCTTAGAATCCTTAGATCCTTAAGCGGGGTCGCGGATGGCAAACCCGTTAAAACATACACTAGCCTTTTGACTTAACTCTGCACTCACTTAGATGCTGAGAAAGGGCACTATACATTAGATGGTGTTTTAGGCTAAGGACTAGGATGTTGGGTAGTCATTTTCGATGACTTGGCTATAGTTCTCTATTGATTTAGTTGTCCTAGCCAAACATCACCTTTGGTGTTTTTGGTGTGCTTGCATGTTTGCCGAGTTTTGGGATATGTGCAGTAGTATATTAGGTCGGTCTTCTTGCAGGGAAACATACCTAAACACACACACACGAGTAACATGGAGGAACATGTAATGATTATGAGTAACTCTTTTCTACAAGTGCTGTTAAACTCCTCCTGTCAGGCATGGCTAATATGTGTTGCATGTACATAGCTTTTGATGTTAATGTTGTTTTCATGCAAGTCGAGTCTTCCTTTTGTCTTTTATGTATTTGATAAAGTCCTTAGGATCGAGTATGCATCCAAAATAAGGTACAGGTGCAGGCTTCAGGGCATATGACGCATAGAGCCGCATGACGAGGGACCATGAGCAGCAGACTTGTGTCCCGTAACTTAAGTTTAAATTCATATTCTTGTATAAAATTAGGACCAGGTGTGTACTTATGCGGTGCTTGACTACCTTTCTTGCTTTCATGGGATGTCGTCGACATAGCGACGTTGGCCTGTTCTATATTTTCATTTGACATTTCTTTTACTTTTTCCTATTACATGCTTATGTGCTTGACATTGGTTTCGCCTTTTTTATTTTGTGCCTTTGTCTGGGAATCATGCGAATCATTTAGGCTCTTTAGAACCCAAAATTGTAAATTTATTACAAATCCTCATAAAAGTTTCAAGATTAATCAAAATTTAGGATTAAAAGATTCAATATTTTTCAAAATATGTCTTTACTTTCCTACATGGCCTTTAGGCATTTTGAATGGGTTGTATAGCATGACATTTACCCATGTCAAAAATAATAGGGCCTCCATGCTTTGGACTTATTAGACAACTGTATCATATTGTATGTCCCGAGGAGAAGTCATTATGCTTCTCCAACTTGACTAGCCCATCACAGATTTCTATTTAGGTGGTTATCTAGTGCGTTTAGAGTGTTAGATGCTTCCCCGGCTTCCCCGACCCAGACGGAAAGTAAGTCCTTTGTTGAGAGTGTTTTCAGCTTTATAGCTAGACCTCTCATCTCTTTTCCACCCCCCCCCCCCCCCCCCATTTTGACAGGTATAGGTCCAACCTCTACTCTTCCTTCCTAAACAGGGTTATAGGATTTAGAATTTCCTTCTCTTGGTCTTAGGGCTACTGAAATGCCCTTGGATGATGCAATTCACAGATTGCTGACAAGGGATCTTTGGTTACGTTGGGTCGACTACCTTCACGACCAGGTAGACTTGGGGGCTTAATAACTTGGGACAACAGATCTGTCGTATCCTAACTCGGCTATCTCTCACCAATTATGATTACTTTTTTCTTCCTTTCCTTTGCTAGCCCCTTTTGAGCCCTATCGCTCCTTTTGACACTTTAGCGATGTCATCTCGTAGGCCTTGATATAGATTGCCTCCCATTTAGGATACGATGATTCAGCATATGTCCTTATGGATTGTTTTGGCTTTAGAAGCATAGTGTGGACCCTATTAGTCAACCAGGTTACTTTGCAGGTCTCGTGTACCGATGAGCTTGTACCCATTTGGGATGTGAGAGACTCACTCTCTGCTTTGTGACTTAGCAAGAGCCTTGAAAGGCACGGGATGTTCATATGAGGTAAACCTCCTTTGTAACACTCTGTACTAGTCGTCACCTAAATATAAGCAGAACTCCTCTAATCAAGAGTATTCTTGGGCGCTCCCCAAAATATAATTAACCAAGAAGATACGTTCCCTTAAGAGTTGATCTTGACCCCAGAACAAATATACAAACTTGAATCTCTAATTGTTGGTTGCTTTCGTAGGTTCTTCTTCACGAATGTGTTCCAAAGCATTTTTCGATCCAAACCCATTTTGGGCGTACGCTTTTAGGCTATCATGCGAGATTTACCCTACGAATATTCTCCACATTCTTTCTCTCATTTGTCTTTATTGTCATATGTCCTTATTTTTTTATTTCTCTCTTCTTCAGATCATCCATTATGATCTGAATGGAGAAAACTGATGCTTACGACTGGGGGTGGAGAGAATTCCTTTGCATGTCTAATAATGGGAAGGGAGGAGTTATTGCCAACTAAGACTTTGTCGATGCCACTGTATGATGTTGGTTGCTACAAATTTGCGAGCCAAGAGGTTAGATGAGCGGTGTTTCCTATATCGAGCAACCATTCTAGCGGTGACTATTGTGTCGTAGCTTGAAGAGGCAACTAATTGGTTCGATGTGTTGGAAAGGGTATTATAGGGTTGCAGCAATAACAAAAGATGACAATTGTATGACTTAATTTTACGTAGATTTGACACATGATATGAGTGTTATTAGATTTTGTTATTTCAAGTAGAGACATATAAACCTTTGTGCTAGTTGTTTTGTCCATGATCATGATTGGGGAATGATGCTTGACTACAGGTAGCTGATAAGTCACCATGCTTTAAGGGAGTGGTATGTTGTTTTTTTTATTCAGATTGTTGATTTCGTCACTATATATTAATAAATGGAGGTCATCAATGCTTATAGAGTTGAGGTGAGCTGGGTGCAAATTGTTTTCTTAAAGCCTTGGTATCAAGAGGGAAGGCCATTAAGTGTGCGAAATATGATGTCATTATCTACTTTGGATCCCACATTAACAATGTAGTCAACCAATCATTTGATAGAGGAGAGAGAATTGTTCATGATTTGATTCTTCATGATAATGTTATGGAGCTCATTCTTGAGATGGATGACTAGATCGAGCAATATTTTGTAGTGATTTTTCTTGGGTGCTACAAATCTGCAGGATTGAAGATTGAAAATGTAAAGGAGTATGATAGGGTTTATGCTGGATTATAAAGCTGTGGCTAGATTTTGATCCAGTAGAAGCTTTTTGGGGCATTGAGCGTGGAGTAATGTAACAACCGTTGTTGTGATTTGCATTGAGGGATATAGAACTAGAATTGGAAGAAATCCTTCAAAGCTATTTGGAATGAATATTTTTTGGATTTGTAGTTGCTAGATGTAGTTATCATTTGTTAGCTGCACATTCATCATATTTTTGATATTTTATATCAAAAACTTTAGAGAAGGGAACATCATAATTTCACCTATTTTGAGGAGATTGGAGAGATTGTTGGCTAGAAGATTAACCTGCGAGGTTGTTAATTCATCCATGGGATCACGGTGAAGAAGATAGAAGGTGTTGTTTGTTATGCAGAAGTCTTTGATACCATATGGATAGCTAAACCGTGAAATGGAGCAAGAGCTGAAACAAAAGAAGAAGATAGAAGAACTAAAAAACAGTCAAACTAGTAATAAAAAGCAAATTTCGACTAGTCTCCTAGAAGTTGACACATTTATTGTTGCCCAAATACACAGATATCATCTAGATATATTAATGTACGAATGGCAGATTAAACATTTAGGAACACTTGGGCATGGAGTATTATGGTCCCTCCACGTTAATAATCATTGAATGTAGCAATAATAACTCAAGACGATCTGAGAAGAAATCCCAAATAAGCTCCCAAACTATCACATGCCAGAAGAAATTTTAATAGTTCCTAAGAACGTCTAACATTTCACATTTGGTTGAGAAAATCTGAACACATCCGCGCTGAAGAAAAATGTCATTTTTAAAATGAAAGTCCCCCCACTAGATAAATAATAGTAATAATAAGAGGCCTTCCTACATGTTAAGATAACACATTTCAGGGGGAAGAGCAATTATTTTAGTAACACATAAACAGACAAATATATGTCACAGCAAACATTAAATAATACAAACGAGTCAGAATCAAACATAGAGTGCAGCATATATCAAGGACCTTATCTCTCCTTTTGACAAGACTAATTAATACAAACGATGGTAAGCAGAAACAATGTTAATTACTGAACCTATCTCTGTCATGAGAAGCAGAGTAATCTATGTTGGAACCAATTGGAATGATACCATGAGGATTAATATTAGGATGGCTTCCATAATAGTGCTTCTTTATGTGTTCCATGTTAACGGTGCCGCTGATGCCGGGAATTTGGGGTATGTCTTTTGTGTAATTGAATAGATTTGGATATTCACGTAGGAGTTTCTTGTTGCATTTGAAATGTACAGAATAAACCTATCAGATCAAAGCGTCAATCAGATTGCTATCATCTATTTATCAGACAGGTGCAAGAAATTTCAGAAACATAGATTGAGAATGTTTCATTTAAAAGCACATAAAAAAAAAAATTTAATATGTGAATGCTTTCTGTAAAGTTACCTGAATAGAATTTTGAGGCGCACATAACATTCTTAAAAAAATGGGAAATCTACTAATGGTGGTAACATTTGGTCTCATCGCTTACTGTTCTAGTTAAAATTTTGCACTATAAAGTAGAAAACGACAATAAAATAAAAGTTGAACGAACGTTCACTGCAGAATTCTTACAGTTACATAAAAAAGTTAATTTTGTTCAGCCTGGTTGACTTCTCTTATTTACAAAGCTAAAAACTTCCAAAGAATATAATGCAAAAAACTTCCATTTAAACAAACTGAACTACATAAATACCCTAACAAGAATGGTTTCAAATGCAATCAACTATTAGCTGGACAGCTCTAACGTCGTGGGATTATGCTGGAATAATAAAGTTTCCCTAAAAGCAGTCGAAAAAATGGAAAAAAGTTGCCGACAAATTACTCAGCTAGAGTTAGCATATCAACAATGCATGCACACAAAGAATAAAAAGCAACATAAATTTAAGAAATCGCCAAAATGCTACATTGACAAGTTATAGTTTAGTCCATAATTTATTAAAGAAGGCCCAGACGACTGTGATAATGATATCATGTGTGTGCGCAATATGACTATATGAGCAATACAAAATAATGCTATAATGACAAAAAGAGATTATCATAATCATATTTAGCCCTATCTATGAGTGTTGCTTCTGGTGTTGAATCTATTTGACAAGTAAATAGAAGATGCTGCAGTGAAATAAGCTTTTAGTTACAGCTTACCTGTCACTCTGAATATAAATCGCACCGTAATATTATAACAAATGGATTGATTTCATTTAACTTTATAATCGTCTCTGCTTCTGTACAGGTTTGGGCCCACTTCTACATTCTTCTCTCTTGTATAAAATACCAAGTAGTTTTCATATGAAAGGTGAGGAAGAATTATACAGCAGCATTCTGTTTTCCATACTGTTATTCCTTTTGCACATCTGTTTTTTCCTGTAGTGGTCTGTTGTCATGTTATTAGAGCTGTGATACCCTGAGGTTCATTCAATCCTTCTCTACTTTTTCCTTTTCTTTTTACTATGGCAGACTCTATCAAATCTGCAGTAAAAGTTTCTTCTACCACACAACTCCAGATGAGTAATGTTTCTACCCCTCCTTAACTTAAATTTCTGATTACAAACATGAGGTCAATCATACACATCCAGCTCTCCACTGACAATCATCTTGTGTGGCGATCTCAAATCCTTAAGCTATTCAAGGCAAATGGCTTTGAAGATCATCTTCATGGTTCATGGCTGAAATCTGCTCGTCAAATTGCTAGTGAGAGTAGTAATTTTGTTCCAAATCCATCTTGCAATACCTGGATGCTTGTGGATCAAAACTTAGCTTCAGATCTCTCTTCCACCATGTCACCCACACTCCAACCTTATGCTCTTAACCTTGACTCATGCGTGGAAACTTGGGCAACTATAGAAAGGCGTTTGCAATCTTCAAATCTTTCTAGGATCATCCTGCTTAAAAAATGAATTGCACCATGTTATAATGAAAGATAAATCCAAGGTTCAGCGTCTTTCTGAAATAAAAAAACAAGGTAGATGCTATCACAGGTACAGGAACTCCGCCACCCAGAAGATAATTTTACTCTGTACTCTTAATGGCTTACCATCTGAACAAATCAGCAACTTATAGCTTGGATGCTTTTTACTCGCTACTTTGTAGTGAAGAAATTAATCTTGATGTCCAAACAGAAGAACTTACACTTACCAATTTTATTGACTCTCAACTAGAACTAACTGTTGTTAAAGAGCGAGGCAAACCCTTCTTTAAACGAGGGAACTCCAACAGAAACCGGAACACAACATTTTGGGGTTCTTACAAAAACACTAGGTCCAACACCAATTCCTTCAGGGCATCCGCACATCTATTGTTGTGGTTTCTTGCTAGATTTATGCTAAAGTGCAACGCTCAGCTGTTCAAAGTTGGCATCGTACTAATCTTGCTTATCAACCCTCGCATTAAGCATGCATGGCGGCTCAATCCTCATCAGGAAAGGATTAGATTTTGGATTCAGGAGCAATGTCACATCTCACCTCCAATTCTTATTACCTCGCTCACATCCAGCCTTACATAGGTTCCCAACAAATTACTTCTGGAAATGGTCAGGTTCTACTCATTGCCGATACCGGTAAAAGAATATTACCTATTCTAAGTCGTAAACTTCATCTATCTCCCTTATTACATGTTTCAAATATCTCCACAGTTTGCTTTCAGTTCATCAGCTTACTAAATCAAATTCATATTAGATTACATTTGATAAATTTGGGTTTTATTCTTAAGGACACAATGACCAACAAAGTTCTCCTCCTAGGTCCCTGCCATCAAGGACTTCATCCAACGCAGTTGCCTTTCTCAGCTCATCTTCTGATTCTGCTCTTTGGCACAGACAGCTAGAGCATCCATCCACATCTACTCAACCTGAACTTCTTCATCAGCTCAATTCATACAAAACCAGATCTAGTTCCCTTCATTCCTAGGCATGTGCTCGTGTTAATAGTTATAAACTACTTTTCTTTGTTCTTCTCCTCCTCAAACATCTGCTATTTTTGAATTGCTTCATAGTGATATATGTGTGGACCTTCCCCAATTTTGTCCAATCAAGTTTATAAATAATATCATTTATTAGTTAACGGTTTTTCTTGCTTTTGTAAGATGTTTCCTCATAACTGGAATCTGAGTCAAAACTAAACTGCAACACTATTCAAAACTTTTGTTGAAACTCAATTTCATACTCAAACTAAAACAAATCAAATTCAATACAAAAGTTTTTTGTTCTCCATTGCACTACATCACCAGATTAGTTGTCTATCAATCAAGAATAACTTAAATCCGGGCAAATTTAAGAGTTTCCTTCTTTAAATTGCTGCATTAAATTTCTTATTTTAATTGTACACATTCTTTCCTTTTAGCTGAATATCAAGGTAAGGAATATGTATCATTATGTACCTAAAATAGATTGTACAGACTATTATTTATTGGAATGAAAGAAAAGGAAAAAGGCATTCAACCTATTTACTCAAAATATTGATATGGTATAAGAGCCACGTCTAATCGTTCCAGTCAAATCTCTTGTCGCCTTCAAAGCTAGCCTTTGGGAATCGTTCATCTTCATCTTCATTCCATCTTCTCCGACATCTTCGACTGCTTCCTACGGCATCATCATTTGCATCTTCGAATGCTTCCTAAGTCTTCGACGTCCTCGACCACAAATCGCCGAGAGCCTCGTCCGCAATCCTGTAGAAGCCTTCTCATTGCCCGTCTACTGAGAAATGCAATTTTGTCTGTCGCAATTCGCGAAGGAGAGGAAGATCGATCCTTGTGTATGCACCGATTGTGTATGTTGTGATTCGCGGAAGCATATGATCTCGCCCATCTTGTTCGCGATCCAAACCTCATCCGCAATTGTCTGCCGTGATTCGCGGAAGAATAAGATCCCGTCCGTCTCGTTCGCGATCCAAGCCTCAGCCGCGATCCAATCTTGCCAGTCAGTCGTCGCTCCTTGGTGCACCGCTCGAGCCGCACGTCCCTATTCACATACCAGAAAGCCGGATAATTTGGCTTTCTTTGGTCTTTTTTTTTTTGGATCTCTTGGTTTTCTTTGGTTTTAAGTTGATCAATTTCGATCAACAATTTTTTGGATAATAAAATCGTGAGTGACACTTCTCTTAGAATGTCGTTTGAGAAAACACATGAAATCTTAGCTATCAGATTTATGTGAAAGATTTACACATCATGGGAATTTCAGTTCAAGGTGTTTTTGAAAGAGAATGAGCTTTGGGGGCATATTGATGGATCATCTCCAGCACCTACAAAGCCGAAAGATCTTGGTCAATGGGAGGTAAGGAATGCTCAAATTGTTTCTTGGGTTTTAGAATCTATTGAGAATCATATGATGAACAACTAACGATTCTTTGGCACAACTAAATAACTATGGAAGTACTTCAAGCGCGTCTACAATCAAAATAATACTGCAATACGCTTTTAAAACTTGATATGAGTAATTATAGTCAATGTAATCTCTCAATTGAACAATATTATTATGAGTTTCTTAATTTGTGGAGTGAAAATTCTGGTATTATCTATGCTAAGATGTCATAGGAGAATTTAGCTAGTTTTCAGGCTATTTATGAAGATGGTCGTCGTGATCAGTTTTTGATGAAGCTCAAACCTGAATTTGAAATTGCTCGGGCTGGGTTGTTGAACAGAGATCTGATTCCTTGTTTGGATGTATGTTTTAGTGAATTAATGCGCGAAGAACAAAGATTGGCGACAGGCCACTACCAATGCAGTTGGTGGATCATCAGAAATAGTTAATGTTGCATATTCTGCTCAAACCTGAGGAAAGGAAACAAAACATTGTTACAACTGGAAGGAATTTGGTCATATAACTCTCCAATATAGTACAAAGTTTCGTAATTATTGCAAGAAAAACGGGCATATTATTAAGGAGTGTCCTACACGTCCTCAAAACCGCAAATCACAAGCCCTTCATGCCATGGTATCCAACTCTCACAATCCTGATTCGACATCCACAACTGCCGGTAATAATCAATTTGTTCTCACACCAGATATGGTTCAACAAATGATTCTCTATGCCTTTTCTGCTCTTGGTCTTCAAGAGAGATGTAAGATTATTATTTTTGTTGATGCTCCTGGTTTGTTGATTTTGGCACCACAAATCATATGACTGAACATCTGATTTATTGCATAGTCAACGCTCATATACTGATACTAAACATATTTAGGTTGCTAATGAAAATAATATTCCAATTACGATAGTTGGTGATATTAACCCTTTCTTCTGACATGTCTTGTTTTTTAAATTCTCAACAAAC